TGTTGGTTTTTTGGCTTTTCGAAGGGTATTTTTGTGAATGTGAGCGTGCCAGCAAGGATCAATCAGTCCTTACAGAAATTGTGATTGCCAACCAATTACCAGACGATTGTGTTTTAGTTCTTTCAGCCTCAATGAAGAGGACTTTTACTGGTGGCTTGACTTAGGAGAAATTAAGAGAAATAACAATTAATATGAAGAACAATGGAAGTATTTCATAAAAATGAAAAACTTACAATAGTCCGAACTCAGCCTCGAAGAGGTTTACAGCAACAGTCTACTTGAATCTACTTGAGACTACTCCTATGAATTGAAGTGCAGTGCAGATATGTAAAGTGCAGGTATTGAAAGTACAGGAATGTAAAACTGGAAAGTAAAATATGAAATAAAGACTGGTGTGTATGATCTGAGTTCCGTCCCTTTCCTGAGGGTCCTTCTGCTATTTATACTTGTCAAAGATGACCTTCGAACTGCTCTTCGAACCGTCGAACTGCTCCTCCATGATCTCTGATCATGTTGCCTTAGAAGTAGCTCCATTATGCCACCATTTGCAGTTAGGCTTCCCTCCTGTATTTGAATTTGAATATGAGTAACCGTTGAAGCCACGTCACCTTGCGTTTCTTTACTGATCCAATGTTGCTCAGACCATGTGAGAACCAATTATCATCACCACGTGTACGATCAGGATTGGAGACTTAAATTATTTTCCAATAATACCCTTATTCTGCCACGTGTCGGATTGTGACTGGCTTTTACAAAATATATAGCTAACAACAATTAGATTATATATAGGCTATGCATGTTTGCCATATTAGATTGGTGGGAATATTATGAGTACAATAAGATTGAGTAAAAGAATTACTAGTGTGGTGGTATTAGGTTGGAGATATAAAATAAATTGTGTTTGTTTGTATACTGATTTGATGATATTAGTTAACTTATAATATATGAAATTATGTAAAACCCTCATTATATAGAATGTGACTTTTAACCAAGGGATTGTATTGAGTGGTCCTGAAATATGGTCACGTAGTGTTCCAAGATGTTGTGATTAGTGGAGAAAGTAGGGCATTGAATAGTTTTTCGTGTGGTTAGTCATTTGGCCATAAAGTCTCTCCTAAGGGGAGATCTTGGGTTTCACTTTTATGAGTGGAATGAGATGCAAGTTGTAAGTGCTTGCACGGAGAATGTGTGCGTTTAACTCCCCTAAGTGCCTCTAACAACTAATCACTAATTTTTGGCGATTAAAAAATATATATAGAATGTGACTTTGTTATTTTTGTAAATTGAGATGCAACATGTCTGATTTTCTGAAATTAGAGTAGCAAGACCACCTTCAGCATGGGAATGCTGATCACCATGGCATTTTCTAAAACTAAGCAAGTTTTTGTTGTAAAACTTATAAAATTATATATTCTGTACGAAAATGAGCACAATAAATAATGTATATATTTTTTTAAGTCTCTATATGTATATATATGAATTGCTGTAGTTTTTTAATTTTTTTTTTTTTTTTTTGAAACTGAGGTTTCCAGCTTCTACCGCTGGGCTGCGTCCACCGACTAATCCTCAAGGGGAGCAATCACAACAATCACAACAACCATTGTTATTAATTAGTATCAATTAATAATTAATTCATTACAAAAATATACAATATTAATTTATTAATAATTAATACTAGATAATATTGATACCAATATAAAAATTGTTGACTTTTTCTTTTTCTTCATTTTTTTTCTTCTCTTCTTTCTTTTTGTTAATTTTGTTCAATTTATTAATTCATTACATATTATTTTATTAATTTATTAACCACCATCGATGGCTAGGGTTTCAACGCCGGAGAACAACGCAGATTGCGATCGCGACGGTGACAAACAACCCAGATCGAGAGAGAGAGAGAGAGCACAGGTCGATCCTGACGGTGGCAAACAACGCCGGAGAACAACGCAGCCAGAGAGAGCGAGCGAGAGAGAGAGAGAAAAGAGAGATCGTGAAGAGAGAGAGAGAGTTCTTGTTGATATATATATATATATTTTTGGGACCAAAACTATTTCAGAAAATAGCCTCTCTCTCTCTCTCTCTCCAGTGAGCAAATGAACAGTGTTTTAAGAAAGGGAGTTTACATGCTTGAGTTTTTGGTAATAGTTGAAATTGCTGAGGGGCATTTAAGTAATTTTGCCCATCAATTTTCACCTTTCTGTTTACGCTGAAATGGAAAAGCAGCTCCTCCCCCATTCAAAGAAAAAGCTGAAAATCAGTTTATAAAAAACTATAACCTACATCATTAAGGTACACCAAACACACAAAAATAACTTATTTTAAGTTATAAATTGACTTAAGTTGAAAATAAATTGTGCGAAAGAGGCATGTTGCTTGGAAGATGACCTACCCATGTATACAAACCACCAAACTATTTAGGAGAGATTGCAAATCAATTAGGAGAAGTGCAAAATACTTATAAAAAGACAAGTGCAAATAGGGATGTGCTCTGTGCAAGTTTTCTCGCCTTACCTGCATCTGTAAATGGATCGGATTTGGATCGGATCTGTCAAAATCCGAATCCGAATCCGATTAAGGCAAACCTGAATCCGATCCGAATCCGTTTAGTATATATCCGATTATAGATATCCGAATCCGAATCCGAATCCGATGATTTCGGATATCCGATCCGATAATCCGATCTGATCCATTTATTTATTTACTGAGCTACAATTTTATATAATTTGATTTTTTTTTTTTCATTTTATGTTTTTTCATTCAAATTGAGAATAGTCGGATCGGATTATCGGATTATCGGATCGGATCGGATTTTTGCATATTCAATCCGTTTAATAAACGGATTAAACGGATTCGGATTATTGGATTATCGGATTATCGGGTCGGATTTTTTTGTAAACGGGTTCGGATTATCGGATCAGATTCGGGTCGGATTCGGATTAAATCCGATCCATTGACAGCCCCCTGCATCATACTACAAACTTTTTCTTTTCTTTTTTTTAAATCGATAGGAAAATATTTATGTTTTTATAAATATGTGGCAAATAACTATTTAAAAAAGTTGAATAACATAAACTTACAAATCCAACGCAAACAACCAAATGCCCCTGATGGAGGAAGAGACAAATAATTAAAAAAAGATTTGAACAAAATAATCAATCATTTGGTAGGAATTAACTTCTAATCTCTCTCAGCCGAGTGTGTACAACCGATCATATTTAAACATTCATATTTTTGCAATTACGCATTTTCTCTAGTTTCCATTGATTTACAATTTCCACAACTATTTATCACTTATAAATCCAAAATATCCAGAAATAATAATTAATGATTTATATTCATTTCACTCATTGACTTCACAATTCATCAATTTAATTTTCACAACATAAAATGATTTTGGGCAAATTCTAGACCATAAATCTGGATTTCTAGCTTTTGGCATGTTTCTAATTCCCTTGTTGAACCAAAAAAAAAAAAAAAACCCAGCCCAAATCACCGATATACATATTAACAAAGCCAACTCTTCATCACCTAAACATACATATAAGACCACCGAGGATCCTCTAGAGTGAAATTTCCCTAAAGTTTCCTAGAGTGCTATAGTGTGTGGTTGAGATTTACTGGCAAGTCACATCAGAAAAATTGATGTGACTTGCCAGTAAATCTCAATCACACAATGTAGTACTCTAGGAAACTTTAGAGAAAAATCACTTTAGAGGATCCTTGCTCATATAAGACATGTGCAATATAAAGATGTTACAATTGGGTAGAGCTCGAAAATGAGGTGTAATCTTTCTTCACATGAGAAACCTGGAAAGCCCTACTTTGCTGCCAGTCGACTTGACATCCTCTTGAACTTGTTGCCTGTACTCTCTGAAGCTAAATTTTCTGTACATACAAGGTTCATTTTCATTGCAACCTTGAATCACAGTGTCATTGGAAGGACACAAGAAATACCCAACAGAAAACCTTTCCCCCTCATGATTGCTGATAACCCGGTGCTCGATGCTCTTGTAAACACCATTGCTCCATGCCTACATTCACATACATATATATATATATAAGATTCAACAACTATATATGTGTACATGAGCTAAATGAATTGTTTTGAACTCTTACACCAGATTGTGCATCAGTCCACTTACAATATATTCATGGTAGACATTGCACAACGCATGAAGTTATGTGATGCATATCGTTTTTGCTTAGGGTAATTAATCAATAGTTTTGGACTATCATATATATCATGATATCACCAATAACGTAACGGAATTTTTTTTTATAATTGAAACATTATACTGACCCAACTTTGCTAGATAGTTGATGGACAAATGATGTCCCACATAGTGTTTTGTTGGATCATTTATTGGAAGCATCATGTAAATAATATCAGGTAATAATTTAAACCTGTGTGGCATATTTAGCCTGGATTATAGAATGACAAAATGAGAAATAAGTGTTCGACATGATGTTGGCGGATTAACTCCAAAAGACACATGTTTGATTTGAAATGAGTTGTAACCAAAGCATTTTTCAGGTAGATTCCTTGGTTGCATTTTGATTTTGTGATTTTTCCATTTCAATAAAGTTTATTTATGAAATTACTTTGTCTAGAAAATTTATTATTTTTGTTTAAATTTGTCATTTTTACTCCAGAAATTATCCATTGTACAATGTGAATGTTTTTTTGGTCGGCTTGGGAAACTCTTATTATTATAAATTCAGATGTAGGCCTATTAAGTTTTCATGATTAAACAATATTTTATAGAAATGAATGTTCTCTTATTTATGTGTTCGCGTTTATTCCCGTTGTAACTCTTTATTCTACACACTTCCTTGCATCATTATTAACTCAATTCATGTCGAATAAATAAATAAATAAGATGGGAATTACCTGAAATAAGTCACCAATGATGACAATCAAAGCCTGTGGATTAGGTTTAATGCTAACCCATTTTCCATCTTTCACCATTTGCAAACCTCCAACCTGGTCTTGGCACAATATTGTGAGGAAGTCACTATCAGTATGTGGAACTAACCCATAGATCTCAGAAGATATTGGGCATCGTGGATATCTATTCATTCTCAGATAACATGAACTTGCCATGCAATTTTTTGCAAAGAAAGTGGTTTTGCTGCCAAGATTCTCTGCCAATATTTCAGCTATTCTTTTTGCTAGCTCAGAAGCCACTTCTGCAAATACTGCAATTGTTGTGCTGCAAATAAGATGAGATCGAAAATAATCAAAGGAAGATATAACAGATTTACTTACATTTAACACCATGTTTTTTTTATCCTACAACTGAATTGCAGCCGTATATATAAAGATTCAATGTTATGCCATCACAAGTAATCACAACTAAGGGTCGGCATTAGGCTAATAGGCTGTCTCTCATAGGCCAATGTTCAGCACAGCGCGCCAGACTGTGACTTAGCTCAACGGGCCGAGATTCAAGCATATATTTTGAATTTTATTATTATTTTTTTAATTTTTTCATATTTTTTGTAAGGCTTGAGTATTAGGTTGACAGACCTCCTGACGACAGGTAATTTAGATTTTAAATCATACGCCCAAGCCCAATACAAGTCTCATTCGAGTTGAGCTAACTCGTCCAAAGTACAGACTTAGGTTAGGTCACAGACTTTCAAACCAAATGATGACCCTTACAATTACATCATAACTTAACAAATGTGTGCTATCAATTCTTGTGTTGGGCCAGTCCATACAGAGTTTTGCTCTGACTTTAAATGGACCCCCACTAGTAGACGGTGAGATTGGTCTCCCAGGGATTAGTCGAGGTGCGTATAAGCTGACCCGGATACCCTAAATTATCAAAAAAAAAACTTAACAAATGTAAATTTTTTAAGTTTGAATTAATTACCTTTATCATTTTTGTACTTCTATTAAAATTTTACTATAATCCTTCTACTTTTAATACTTCTAACAATTAATTCATTATAGTTTAAATAAAATCATAATATTATCCTTCCATCCATTAGGATTTAAGATAGTTGATGAAAATTTGCACGCAAGTCACATGTGACATTTTTCTCCCACCATTAGCACTTTTGTAATTTGATCAAAATCTCAATTTGATCTTCTGCAATTTCATGAAAATCTTAATTTGATCTCATCAATATTAAACAAGAATCATATATAGAGTGCAATTTCAATTTTCACTGTCTCATTTGTAGTAAATGGATTGAAGAGTCATATTGTAACTTGACTTGAAGCGTAAGAATTTACTATAACAACTGAAAATAAAGAGTTTAAAGTAAAATTTTGATAAAAATACAAAGGTGCTTAGTGTGATTAACTGTTTAAATTGTAACTCACTTTTTTTAGATATATAATAAAAAAATAAATGTTAGAGGTAAAGGCATGTAACCAACATATCTCGAGTGATCAAAATCTCAAAATAAAATTTAATAATCATGTGTGTTTTGAGATAGAAGAACAAAAACATACAAGGACAAAGAATTCCATATCGAGTAATATGTACTTTGGAAGATTGGTGGTGAAGGCATCTGCATGAAAACTACTTATTGCACTTTCAAAAATTGTATAATACCTAAGAGAACTGTTGAATCCCTTCAAGACCGGAATGTTTTCCAGAGGTATATGAAAAGCTTCCGACCACGAAAACTGCATCAAAGAAGTTGCCGCTGGACTCCCCCACCGGTAACAGTTCAAAAACTTGTTAACTTTCTTCTCAAACGGTTGTCGAAAAAGCTTCTCTTGCTCACTCTTCAACTTTGCCAAGATCTCCCAAGAAACACCATGATTCACAACCTGAAAGAGCCCACACTGTTTTGCGGCCATAGCAAGGTCTCTCTCACACTCTTTTCTGTCATGGTCACTGAGACCTGAACGACTGAGATCAACTAATAGTAGCTCATATTCATCATAGGCAGTGAAAGGGTTTTCTGGGTTTTGTTCTTCAATGAAATTTGAGAAAAGGGTTTTGCAGTTTTCTTGGAATGGTGTGTCTGATTCCATACTTATAAAAAGGATAAATTAAGAAGAGAATAATGAACCCAATTTTGGAAAATATAATCAGAGTTTTGGTGAAGCAGGAAGAGGTTAGATTTTTATAAATAATCTTATGCGGCCTGAATTTAAATGGAGAATTTGGTCAAAGTCCCATCTTAATAAAATTTTTAATTTGGTCAAAGTCCCATCTTAATAAAATTTTTAAGTATAAAAAGATTTTTTAAAAAAGTCTAATGTAGATCATTATTGATAAAATATTAAAATTTAAAATAATATAGCATTAAGGATAAGTATAAAAAGATTTTTTTGAAAAGTCTAATATATATCAGTATTGATAAAATATTAAATTTTAAAAGAATATAACTTTTAATGTAAATATTGATTTTTAATAAAATTAGTATTTTTAGAATTCTCTCATCAAGATTTATCAAATAAGATCAATGTTGACTATGAAATTTTTTAATATATATATATATATATATGTATATTACCGTCGAAATTGATGTAAATAGTAACAGTAACATGTTGCTCGACAGTTACTATGTTTGACAATAACATGTTACTCTGTTCACAGTAACATGTTATTCTGACAATATTGTCCAAAAAAAAAAAATATTTTACTTTAACCTTACTCAATCATGTGTTTTCTCTTTAGAGAATTTATGAAATAAAACAAATTGAGCTATCATTTTTACCAAATAAGGGTCAATAGAGGGAATTTGGCTAAATTTCTCAATTTAAAACTTCATCTATTACTTTGAATCAAGAAGATAATAATGACCACAAAAATCCCATTACTTTGTATGTAAAATTTACATCATAAAAAAAAAAAAAACAAATTATAAAATTTAAAAGGGTTAGGTCATTGACACCCTTTTTCATATCAAGGGCATATTACAATAAAATAAAGTTTTACACACAAAAATTTAAAGACAAAATTATTTTTTAGAGACAAAACATTTCAGTTGTTAAAAGTGTCATCGTATTTTTAATAATGAAATTGAACATTTAACAATGAATTACTATCGTTTGTACCAACATGACACTAAATTATTTTGTTTCTAAAAATTAAGCCAAAATTAACCTAATTAATGTCGTGTACCAAAATTTGCTTTAGAAAAAAATTAAGGGATTCAAAAAAATAATTCCAATAATTTCCCAAAAATCAAATATTCAATGTGTAGATTTAAAATTTTAAATATAGTGTGAATGGGTTTTATTTTCACATTCATTGCAACTTCTTTTTTTTTTTGATAAAATTTTCAGCTGAAGGTGGTTGCTCCACCACTATGTGGAGCATTGTCTTTTTAATTAGCAGTACGTCAAGTTCAATGAAACAAATGATGATCACATACTTGAAAATAACATGATAATCATAGAATAACTGCACTATCATATGTACATTCCAAGTCAAAAGCTCTCAGGCTGCGTTCGGGCAGTTTGGACTAAAATAATTATATAAAATAAAATTATTTATCCTAGTCAAATAAGCTAAAAATTTTGGTACAAAAGCTAAAAATCATTTTATTTATAATCATATGACTAAATTTTTTTTCTCTTCCAAGTCAAAATTATTTTTTCTCTTATAAAATATCATATTTAAAAAAGTAATTATAAGGGATGCAGTAAGAAAAATCTTAATTATATTTGTTAACAAATTAATATTTTGTTATTCCGGATTCAGTCCACACTAATTGTTGTTATTATTATTTTTTTTAGTGGACGTTGATTTGAAAATGACTATGTCACAAATTCTAAGTCGCATTTATAGGCTTTTTCTATTGAAACAAAAATCAATAACCGTACCTCATTTAGGGAAATATTACCGGGCACATCTCTTATCATGTAAAAATTTATAAATTTTTATAATGTAATTATAAGGGATGCAGTAAGAAAAATCTTAATTATATTTGTTAACAAATTAATATTTTGTTAGTCCAGTTTCAGTCCACACTAATTGTTGTTATTATTTTTTTTATAAAACTAATAAAAAATAAAAAAAATAATTGTTATTATTATTATTTTATTTGTTAATTATAAATTGACTCAAATACTCTGTTAAAAAAATAAAAATAAAATAAAATTACAAACTTGAAAAAGTATACACCTCAGATTCGAGAGACATATGTGATGGAGATACCAAGCCAACTTGGAGAAGTAAACCAACTCATGACCTCAACAAGAAAAGTGGTTCGGACTCATTATATGAATCTAATTTCATGTTATATCATCATTAATTTCATGTTATATCAAAAACTAAAATTCAGTGATCCCATCAATTAAATTGGGCCACACCTTATGATGTGATGCTTTGGAGAGTGCAAAATTATTCAATTAAGTAAAATATTTGATTCAAAATTAATGAGTTCCCACAACAATTTAATCATCTATTTTGACAATAAATAAACCATAAAAATGATTAGTAATGTTAATTTTGTGATGATTTTTTTAAAATTTATTTTTGTGTTACAGTTATGTCTCTCTCTGTAGAAGTTTTTTTTGGATAAATAACAATTTAACCCCCTGTGGTTTATTCAAAAAATACGGAACCTCCTTATAGTTTTATTTGTAACATTTAAATTCTTAGACTTTATGACATGTTGTAATTTTTGACGGACGTAACAGAAATGCACAAAACGACATTGTTTTGTACAATGCCTGATCAAAAACAAAAAAGAAAAAAAGAAAATGAAAAAAAGGGAAAGAAGAGAGAGAGAAAGATTGCAACCAGAGAGAGAAGGAGAAATATAAATATGAATACATATATACAGAAAGAAGAAGCCTATGATTTCATTTTCTTTAATATCTAATAATCAAGAACCCTTTGGGTGGAGAAGTTATTTGGTGGTCTTGGATATGGATTTGGATTTGGGTATGTATATATGTGTTTTCTGATCTCTAATTATTCCATATATATGGAGATATATATATAAACATGTATATATATATATATACAGGAAGGAGAAGTTTATGATTTCATTTTCTTCTATATCTAATATTGAAGAACCCTTTGGGTGGAGAAGTTATTTGGTGGTCTTGGATTTGGATTTGGGTGTGTATGTGTGTTTTCTAATCTCTAATCATTCCATATATATTTATATAGTTGTATGAACATGTATATACATGCCCTCACTTCATATTTTTTTAACTCCATACTCGATAGTCTACCATTCTACCTCATCTCACACTCCAACTTCATATTATTTAAAAACCTATCTGAGCTAAAACCATAAATCTCCAATCATTTTTCTAGCTCAAGAACCTCTCTAAATAGAAAATGAAGTCAGTTTTCAGAAATTTCAATGAATATCAAACAATGCTAAGAAAAGACAATGCATTTTAAATAACAAAACCATAACTTTTTATAAATAGTCCATAGTTGCAAACACCTACCAACCTCATTCCATCTCCTCCACTCAACCAACACCCACCACCCACCACCTTTCCCTCTTGCGGCACCCATGGTGGTAGCCACCATTACAATTTGGGTCTTGGCTTAGTTAATTGAGTATGTCTATGTATATAATGTATGTGTGTCTATAATGATAAAGATAAGATGAAGGATGATGGTGGTTGCCATGGTAGAGAATAATAGACAGAGATTTTAATTTATGGGTTAACTCTATTTGAGTTAAGAGAAAGATAAACATAGATTTTAGAAGAATAATGAAACAAAAATGAAAAGGAAAGATGGAGAAATGTGGGAGATAAGCTAGAGAGAGAGAGAGAGAGAGAGAGAAGCATTTTAGAGAGGGAATCAACGTCTTTGGTTTTCAAAAAACTTGGAAAGAAGAAGAAGGTAAGGAATTATTTAGTGTGGTTGAAGGGGAATAATTTTGATTTTATGATTGTGCAGCATACGCACTGTTGAAATAAACGGTTTCGTTCGAAATTGCACTTTGGTATGAAATTCAGGGGGTTTAAGTGTTATAAATGAAATTATAGGGGAGCTCCGTATTTTTTAAGTAAACCATAAGGGGTTAAATTATAATTTACCTTTTTTTTTTTCATGGAAAGTCTTTCTTCTTTGCATGAAAGTTTATTTTTTCTCTCTTTGTAAAAACTCTTTATATCCTCGTGGAAATTCTTTTTATTTATTTTTGGATCTATCTTGTACTTTGATGTACCTTATTGGATAGTTTATGTGCAATTTATTAAGAGTTCGTTTGGGAAGTGGGCTGATTTTTTGACTATTTTAACTTGAGATCAAAAAGTCTTTTTAGTCTTATTTGGGATAAGCGTTTTTTTAACTTTTTGTGAGAGACATAGGGTGTGTTTGATTGGACGGACTGGATAAGCGGGGATTAGAATCCATTGGACTTGAGTCCTGGGACTGTGAATCCCCCGGACTATTTGGTTGGATTGGATATGTATCCTGTGTTTGTTTTTTCATGGGATTAGATGTCTGGAAATGACTATTTTTAGTGAATCCAACGTTTGGTTGGACGGATTAGATAGGATAAATGAACAAAAGACTATTTTACCCTTTTTCAATTGTTTACTAAGTAATAGTAATATTAAATATATCTTTAATATTTTAATTATTTTTAGCTAGATTAAATAAAAATTTATTTTATTTTATTTTTTACACAATTAAATAAATTTATTTTTAAAAA